CAACAACAAAAACAACAATAACAATAATAAAAATAATGACGTCATCATGACGTCACCTTGAAATTGGTCGCCGGCGTCAAGCAGCATAATCTCGCCCAGTTCTTTTTTCATCATGTTAATGAAGCCGGCTCTTCTCGCTACTCCGCCGAAACAACTACGATGATGATGATGATGTGATGATGAAGAAGATGATGATGATGGTGAAGAAGAAGATGATGATGGTGACGAAGAAGATGATGATGGTGAAGAAGAAGATGATGATGGTGAAGAAGAAGATGATGATGAAGATGATTGTGACTGTTAAGACGACGATGATGGCAATGATAATAAATCACATTTTTCTTCCCCCTCAGACTACTTCGATACACGCCTCGTCAACTGCAACAACTACATCAACAACTTCAACAACATCGGCGGCAACTTCAACGGCTGCAACAACTACAACAAGCGAAAGCAGCAAAAACGTCAACAACTTGTTGACAAGGCGGTCGCACAGGAGATGGAGGAAATAACGAAAGAGAGAGAGATCATTTTGAGAGAGATACTCCTGGTTAAACAACAACAACATCAACAACAACATCAGCAACATCCACAACAACAACAACATCAACAACTAATCAATGAAGATATATGTACAACAGATTCATCGCAACAACATCAACAACAACAACAACAATCGAACGTATTTGCAACAACGCCGGCTTCGTCGCCATACGCACCAACAACAACAGTGACGTCACCAATCTCATCAACAACGATGACGTCACCAAACACAACATCAACAACAACAACAACGGCAGCATCAACAACAGCAGACTGCTTACATTTCGTTGAGATAGATGACGAAAAACTTCTAGAGAACACTAACCTCACAGAGATAGCCGACCCCAACACTCAAACAACAACAAATTTTTCAGCCATTCCCAACAACAACGACAACAACAACAACGATTCCCTCTCACCAATGAGCCAATTATCTCCCTACAATTTCACGCCGCCATTCAACTCTCAGGATGACGTCATTCCCACACCAGCAACTACAACGACTGATACCATGAATTACGATGGAAATGGCGCGAAAAATGAAAAAAGCGCAAAAGTTCGAATTGGCGCGAAAAATGATGGCGGAGGTGGTGGTTTGAGAGGTTTTGCAGACAAAATTCACAGTAGCAGGTTCAGAGAGTAAGTTTTTTCTCCTTCAAAATCACCATCGTCGTCTTCATCATCTTCTTCATCATCATCATAATCATCATCAGTAGCACCGCTTCATCATCTAAATCACTACTATCACCACCACCACCACTGTCGCCACCATCGTCGCCACTACCATCACTTTCAGATACTGCAACCAAGTGCTGGATAAAGACATCGACGACAGGTGCCAGCAACTTCTCCAGGACCTCGTTCGATACCAGGAAGACCTCTACCTCGTTGACCCCGGCAAGGTCAAATAATAATAATAATAATAAATAATAATAATGATGATGATGATAAAATTTGAGCAGGCAAAGCGTAGGAAGAGGTTCGTGTTGGGTCTGAGGGAGGTGGCGAAGCACCTGAAGATGAACCACCTCGTGGGCGTCATCATCTCCCCTAATTTGGAGCAGAATAACTCCAAGGGTCAGTTAGTGGATGGACTGATGGATGAATGAATGAATGAATGATGGAAGGTGCAGAAAGGAATGTTGAATGTTTACTATCAACCAATCACTCAGTCTTGCCCGCTCTCAACTGATCAACCAATAGATCATTTAACCAATCACACAACAAACCAACCAATCAATTATTCAACCACCCAACCAATCAAATCAAATCACTAACCAACCAACCAACCAACCAAATCAACTCACTAACCAACCAACCAGTCAATCAAATTCAATCATCCACTTAACTCCACTCACATCAGGCTGTCTGGAAGACTCCTTGAACCAGATAATAGAGATGTGCCAGAAGCAAGATGTCGTCTTCATCTTCGCCCTCGGCAGACGAGCACTCGGCAAGGCGTGTGCTAAACTAGTGCCAGTCAGTGTCGTAGGGATATTTAGTACCGAAGGCGTCGAGGTTCGTTAGTCTTATGGTTAAAGTCGCCGGCTCTTGAGTCGCAGTTGCCAGCTTCGAATGCATGTGCAAACCTTATCCATATCGTCATTCATATGCAAATGTTATTCGTATTCCTCTTATTGCCATTATCGTCAGTTAATTATTAATATTATTATTAATTATTATTATTATAGTTATTATTTTTATTATAACCATAATTATTAATATTATTTATATTTGTTCTCAGGAGAATTTTGAAATCTTGAAGAAGTTGACAGAAAAAGCCAGACTGACATACGCTGACATGGTTCAGAGTCTCAGAGAAAATAACAGCAACAACAATAATGAAATTGAAGTGATTGAAGCAGCAACCCTTACTACTGCTGCTTCTAATACTACTACTACTGCTGCTATTACTACTACTACTACAACCACTACTACTACTGCCGCTGATGATAATTTAATTAGTAATTTCTGTGGCGATGCTAATATTACTACTAATAATAATAATACTGCTACTACTACTACTACTACTACTACTACTACTAATAATAATAATAATAATAATGATGATGATGATAATGTTGATGATGACAATAGCAATAATAATAATAATAATGATAATAATAATAATAATAATGATGATGATGATGATGATGATAGCAATAACACAAACCAACAGCAATCATTACCACAAGAACAACAACAACAAACATCATCCCTTCCACAACAACAACAGCAACAACAACAACAACAACAGCAGCCACAGCAGCAACTGCCATTTATAGCACCAATCTTTCCCAATCTGGAAAAAATCTTCCCCCATCTCGGCCACTCGCGAACGCCCTCAGCATGCAGCGCTATATCATTCGTCAGCAGCGTCCTATCTGAGCCGATATCAGAGCATTTGCCGCTGTCCGAGTCGGAAATCGAACTGGCCGGTATCAACACCGATACCGGTATCAACACCGATACCGGTATCAACACTGGTATCGGTATCAATAATACCGACAATAATACGGATGTCAACGCAGTCGAGGAAACGGTTCGGGACGATCGCGATCGGAATAAAACCGGTACCGACAGCAAGGCCGGTAACCTTACTAAAAACAATAATAATAATGATAATAATGATGATAATAATAATGATGATGATGGTGGTTGTGGTGATAACAATGTTGGTTGCAGCGATGGTGAAGATGATGGTGATAATATTAGCAGGAAAGACGACGACGATGATGATAAGGATGACGATGATGATGATGATAAAAATCATTGCGGTACTGATAGTGATGGTTTCAAATTGGCCAACAATGACAATAGTAATAACGTTAATAGAAACATCAACAACATCAACAACAACATCAGCATCATCAACAACAACAACGTCAACAACAACGTCAACAAATACGAGAAAACACTCAGCGATATTGTTGAAAATAATGATGACGACGACGACGACGATGATGATAGTAGTCGTCGTAATGATGCTGATGATGATAGCAGGTCGAAGAAGTCAAAAAATGACAAGAGCTCCTCACTAAATAGGAAGCTATCAAAAATATATGAAAACTATGTCGCTACTGCCACAGCTTCTGATGACGACGACGAAAAAAATGACGCCGACGACGATGATGACGACGACGACGACGATGATGATGGTAATGATGCCGATATTGAAGAAAACACGATTAGCACAACGAAAAAACCGCTAAAGAAAAAACGTTGGAAATCACGAAATGAGACTGAAAGACCCAACCAATCGGAAAAAAATCTAAAAATACAACAACCAATTAAAACGTGTCTTCAGTCCGAATCAACCAATCAGAGACTTCCATTTGAGGCAGTCAACCAGGGCCCTCAGTTTGAGTTTGACTCAGCCAATCAGAGACTTCCTCCTGAAAATGATGAAGTACTATTGGCTAGATTTGTAAATAACTTTCACAGAATTAAAAACGGCAACGACGAAATTAACACCAAAAACGTCAAAAATAAGTCCCGCCTACCGCCAGGAAATACTCGAAATTCATTGGACGCCGACTTGTCAATCAACGATATCGTGGCCAACAGGGTTGAATCCTGGGTCTTCGAATCACAAAAGGCCTTAAAAGGAATCAGCCTGGATGATGGCGGTGATGATGACGATGATATTAATAATAGTAATAAAAATAACAACGCTGATGATAATGATGTCGATGATGATGATGATGATTGCAACAAAATGGAATAATTTTACTTTAACATAATTAACACTGCTTTTTAACCTTTATTCTAGCTTACATACATTATTTTTCTTATATAAATCCATTGCTTTTCTGTTAGTAATAGTAGTAGTAGTAGTGGAAGTAGTAGTAGTAGTAGAAGTAGTAGTAGTAGTAGTAGTAGAAACCCAAGCAAGAATGACAGTTATAATTATTATAACCGAAATAATATTATTTTTCATAATTCTTTTCCGTCAAGTTGGTAATAATATCAAACAAGCCATCACCATTGCTAGAAGCTTTCCTATTGGCTGTTGCTGATGACGCAATTGATGACGTCGATCGATACTATTTTTTTCATTCATTCATTCGTTCTTTCTTTCATTCTTTTAATATATTCATAGCATGATTGAAATTATTTTCAGAATTTAATTTCTAATTCTCTCTCTCTTCCCCCCCCCCCCCTCTCTTTCTCTCTCTCTCTCTCTCTCTACTGTTATAATTGTTGTCGTCGTTGATACCCGTGAACAAAATAATAATAATAATTATTATTATTATTAATCTGTATCATCATTACCATGTATCATCATTATTACCACTGGGCTGTAATTATTTCATATTTCTCCGTATGCAACAACAATTATTACTATTATAACTATTCATATTATTATTCTTAATATTATAACTATTATTATTATCGTTACTATTATTATTATTCCTATTATTATTATTACTATAACTATTCTTATTATTATTGTTAAATGGCAGAATATTACAGAGCTGTTGTTGGTAGTTTTTGCGTTCTTTATGTGCTGATCGGTTGATACGTGCTAAAGAAATAGTCGAATCGGTATTAGGAATTGGAAAAAAAGAGTGAATGAATGAACGAATGAATGAATGGATGGATGAATGAATGAAGAAACGGATAATAAGCGAATTAATAGATTGATAGTATGATATGTAAAAGAATTGCTAAACTTATAGATGGATGAGTGAGTGAATGAAAGTGATGGATGAATTGAAGAAGAAATGAAAGAATGAGAAATTGAATGAATGAAAAAACGAATTAAAAAGTTTCAAGTGTCGATTAAAATTGAAAAAAGTAAGTGTTGAAAGGTAACATTGGTTAGTATCGTTATCAGTTCACTTTCATCCGTACATTCCACCGTTATTAATTATCGTCATTCATTCACTCATTCATTCAATCATTCATTCACTCATTCATTCTTCTGTCAGATCATCCATCCGTCTATCTTTCTATCCAACTAATCGTTACCTTATAAAATTTCATTTGGACGATGAAGATCCAATTCGTTCATTTATAGGTCCGTCAATCAATCATTTAACCATTCATTCATTCGTTCAGGTTTTCATTCCTTCATTCATTTATTCAGGTTTTCATTCCTTCATTCATTTATTCATTCATTCATCTATTTTTATATCCAGCTGATCGTGTTCCTTCAAATTTTCCTTGGACGATGACGTCATATAGTCGAGTTTGTTTTGTGGCAAGTGCGCCACTGGTCGGGCGTCGATACCCTTCACCGTCCCCACTTTGAATCTGCGAATGAGTGAATGAGTGAGTGAGTGAAATGAACGAGTGAGGGAGTGAAATGAATGAATGAGTGATTGAGTGAATGAATGAGTGAGCAAGTTTATATTTCTTTTTCTCCATCTAATCTCAATAGTGTTCTTCATAATCTATCTATATGTCTTTCTTCAGTTATCGCTTGGTCTGACTCTATGTGTCTTAAACTTAATCGTTCTAAATTTAAATTAAATTTTTTTAATAAATCTAAACACTCTATTACTATTCCTCCTATTATCTTACTTGCCTGATTCTAAAACTCTTGATGTTTTTCACAAGTTTCGTAGTCTAGGCTTTATCTTTGATTCTAGCATGTCTCTTTCTTCTCAGATTAATAGTGTCGCTAGAAGCTCTTGTTTTAATTTTCTGCGTAGAATAAAAAAAACTTGCCTTTTCTTGACAATCCTACTCTTCTCCTTCTTGTTACTTCGTTAGTCTTATCTAGGATTGATTATTGTAACTCGCTCTACTATGGCCTTCCTGATTCTATACTCTATCCTTTAAGTAAAACTTTTAACTCTGCTGCTCGTCTAGTTGCTCGTGCCCCTTTCTTTTCTCATATATCTCCATATCTTGTTCTCTCGCACTGGCTACCTTTAAAATATTGAATAATTTTTAAAATTTGCCCATTTATGTATAAGTCTCAATATAAATTGTTTCCTAAGTACTTATCAGATATTTAAATTGAAACTGAACGCCCCGGTTTACGATCGTCTCACTTCTGTTTAACCATTTTCCGGCCATTTTCTCTTGAACTCACAAAACTTACAAAAAACCACACAAACACACGCGCACACACACACACACACGTGTATTATATAAACTATACAACCTTCACGATTATCATCATCACCATCAACATCAGCACATCATCATCATCACCTCTTATTGCAGATGAAACAGCAGATGATGCAGAGGAGGCAGATGATGAGAATGAGTAAGCCCAGGACCACCACAAATGCAATGACAGCTGTGATGATGATGATGACGACAAAGATGATGATGATGACGATGACAGTTGTAACGGTGATGATGATGACGATATGTTATAACAATATATATATATATTATATATATATATATATCATCATCATCACCACCGTCATCATCACTATCACAATCATCATCAGTACTATCACGATCATCATCATTATCACAATCATCATCAGTACTATCACGATCATCATCACTATCACCATCATCATCATCATCATGGCTGACTAATTTTTACAGCACTCATTCCAGTAGATTCACCGGCCAGAACATTTTGTGGGGACATGTTGTTGTTGTTATTATTATAATAATTATTGTAATCGTTACCATTGCTATTATTATTATTATTATTATTGTTGTTGTTGTTGTCAATAGTTGTCGGATTCGTTAGAATATTATCGATATATTTAGTAGAAGTTGTAGTAGTGGTAGAAGTTGTAGTAGTTGATGTAGTAGTAGTAGTAGTAGTAGTAGTAGTAGTAGTAGTAGTAGTAGTAGTAGAAGTTGTGGTAGTAGTAGTAGTAGTAGAAGTAGTAGTAGTAGAAGTAGTAGTTGCAGCGGCAGTAGTTTGCGGAACGTTTTTGTAATACGGGTTGAAGTTGGAATCGAACCAGGTCTCGTCGAGACTGTAAACTGGAGAAGGTCCGAACCATTGGTCGGTTACAATTGCCGATAAGAGTGGGTAGTCGTAACCTGTAGTGGTGATAATGATGATGTAGTTGTTGTGGTTATTGATGTTGTTGTTGTGGTTATAGATGTTATTGTTGTTGTAGTTGTGGTGGGCGATTCGTAATAAACCAAAAATTTTCATCGAGGTTATGTTCAATTTCGGGTTGCAATCCAGACGCATCAACCGCTAATGTACGACGCCAAAATCAATTTCCCGCCAATAAATCAACAATCATTTATCTGGGATGCAAAGGAAGTAGTGGTTTGAATGAAAATTGCAAAATTCGGCCGTTCAGTTTTTCAGAAATGTCCGAACGAATATCAACTCCCCGCATCTCTACTCTGGTTTTTAATTTGTAGAAAGCTGATACTTAACGCTCGATAAGAAGGCGCTATAAAAATGACACATCATCGTCATCGTCATCGTCACCACCATCGTTATCATCATCATTATCGTCATCATCACCATCACCACCATCGTCATCATCACCTCTCTGGCAGATGAAGTAGACGGGGCTGGTGCTGCACGGGATGGCTGACCAGGAATAATTCAACTTCTTATTAAACGCCAAACAAAGAGGCGATGATGATAATGATGGCGATGATGACGATGATGATGACGACGACGAAGATGATGATGATTTCGGTTCGTTTGCGGCCCAGTTAGTGAAGGAGAAGGTGTTTGCTGGTCGGTGAAAATGTGATGTTTGCTGGTGAGTTAGTCAATGATCACAATTAAAATTATAATGATGGTGATGATGAAGATGATGGTGGTCGTGATGAAGATGATGATGGTGATGATGATAATGATGATGTAAATGGTGGTGGTGATGATGGTAACGACGACGATGACCAACTTGCCATCCAAGACCATCCACCTTTGTAGGCGCCAACCCAAACCTTCACTTTCGTCGTTCTAGAGAAAAAATATGAAAAATATATAACTATAATAATAATAATTATTATTATTATCAATAATAATAATTATTATTATCATCATCATCATCACCTAAAAGTCCCAGCGACCCAATTCCTGATAGCCACTTGCAGATATTCCGACGAGACTGTAATCAAAGCCCCGTTCATTCTCGCACACGATTGGTCGGCCTCCACCCACGTGACTTTATTCGATTGGTTCGTATTCAGCCAATAGCAACTCTGGCTTATGATTCTGTAGCTTGGATTGGTTGAGTTTGCGGGGCACTGGGCTGTGCTGGCTATAAAGTTGTTAGTTTTGTAAACGAAAATTTAAAATAACAATATATAACCTAATTTTTCGAAATAAAATAATTAAAAATTTATTCAAAATAAATCAACATCTAAGTTATTCAGGGCGAACCTAATTTGCATATATGGATGAACTTGTCGCCACAACTTTCATCGGCCAATCCGGCGTCGAGGTTCAAATCCAGGACGGCACAATTCTCTTTACCTGATTGGTTGTCGGGCTGGTTGTAGCCCCATCTAGCTCCGAGCCCTGCGACCAATAGAAGTCAGGAAAAGTTTGGTGAATAAATTAAGATAACAAAATTAATAATTGCTCATACATTGCATTTTAACCTTTCGTTATTTATCCACCCATCAATCAATTAATCAATCAATCAATCTCTCATTTGTTCGTTCATTCATTCATTCTTTATTCATTTACCCTAACCCCCGACTCTGAAAAGGGTGAAATGGCGATCGTCGTCAGCTGCACCACACCAGCCCGCGAATTCTGACGTCACATTGCAGGGAGCAACGCAGTTACGTGATTGGTCGGAGACTCGAATGACGTCACCGCAATAGCAGCGGCTCATTCGCTGAAATTTCAATGGCCAATTTCATTAACTCATTCGTTTTTCCGTTTGTTCATCCATCCATCCATCCATTCATCCATCCATCCATCCATTCATCCATCCATCCATTCATCCATCCATCCATTCATCCATCCATCTATCGCACCGTCATGGCGGCATATCCCCTTGATCCTTTCTTGCAAATTTCAACGCACCTGACATGATGAAGTCATGATGATGATGATGATGATGATGGAGGAAAAGATAGTAATGATAATGAGAAATACGATGTGACGATGATGGTGATGATGATGGTGACGATGATGGTGATGATGATGATGGTGACCCACTTATTTGGATCCATGACGACGTCATTAGATGTGACCTCATAGAAACCGGAAGTTGTTGTCAGGTTGCTATAGCAGCCTTGAGAGAGCAAATCTAGTTGTCCTTCAAAAGAAAATTTTATTCACATGGCCATCACATCTCAATCGTCATCACCATCATTTCATTCCTCCACTTCCTAATCCTTACCATCTTTCCATCTCCAAATATTAGTGTTCTCGATAGCACCAAGCCAGACAACGCTCAAAGAAAACCTCTCCATGAACTCCACAAGCTTAGCTTGGCGATTTGAATTTGGTATGGAGGCCAGATTGGCGCCACTGTAGCCGCTGATCGAGTACTGATTGCACGTCCTCTCAGCGTCGAACCAATTTTTACCATCCAGACGGAAGTTGAAGCACATGTAGTCGATGTAGTAGCCTTCGCAGTCTTCCATGGCTGCAAGGTGTGGTCGGTGGTGATGGTGATTAAAACGATGGTGGTGGTGGTGATTAAAACGATGGTGGTGGGTGATTAAAACGACGANNTGAATATGTGGTTGNTATTATTATGATGGTGATAATGAATAAATGTCAACAATCCCGCCATTGAAGATCCATGAAAGATGACGTTGATGACGCTAACAATAATAAAGATCATATTGATGACGTCTTCCATTGGCAGGCAGATTATGACGTCAGCGATTTTATAATCATTATTTTATCCTCAGTAGTACGTATAATAATATTATAATTTAATAATAATAACAATACTATTATTATTGCAAAATATTATTTTTTATTATTTCCAGATTCTTTCAGTAGGAGCTGTTGCAAAATGAATGACAAAGGTGATGTGTATGCGCAAGCATAATTGTCGCCAAGAACAACATCGTCGTCATCGTTAACAACAACGATAACAACAACAACAATAATAATGATTTATTATTATTGCCATTAAGGCTGTTAACTATAAAAGACTCCTTCATCCACAAATAATAATAATTAGCTTAAATTTAGCTGTCGTAAAGATTACGAAGTGAACTTATGGAATGCTAATTAGTGCAATGAGTGAATGAATGAGTGATTGAGTGAATACATTGTTAAATAAAGTAATGAATGAATGAATAAATAACCGAGTGGAAGAATGAATGAATGAATTAATGAATGAATAAATGAATGCAAGATTAAGAAGGCCTTGTCTCGAAGAGCAAAAAGCCTGCTACTGTGCTATTGCTTAGAACTGTCTCTTGAAAATTTTTTTCAAAAAATAAAGTAAGAGATAAAAAGAAAGGGAAAGAGAGAAAAAGAAAGAGAGAAAGAAAGAAAGAGAGGAGAGAGAGAAATAAAAAAATTAAAACACGCTTTGTCTGGCCGTGAGATAATCACAGAATTAGTATATTACACTACAAAACTCTAATAAAAAAATAATAATTTATTATTACTATTATTAATGCTACATAATTATAAATAATTTTTTTCTTCATAAATAAATAATATAATAATAATTATGGCGTTTCTAAAAATAGAATTCTACGTAGTTAACATCAGTCCTGATGACGATTCTACTATAAATCTCTTGATAATGATCATAATAATAATAATAATAATTATTATTATGAAAATTATTATTATTATAATTAATAATAATTAGTAATCGTCATCGTCCTTATCGACATTGCAATATTCGTCATCACATTTTTTTAAGACTCGCTTCAGTGAATACCCATACATATATACATACATACATACATACATACATACATACATACATACATACATACATACATACATGCATACAAACATACATACAAACATACATACAAACATACATACCTTCACATATGGCGTCCCCAGGTTGCCATAACAACGTGCAAACAAAATTTTACAATTTCGATTGTATTATATGTATGTATGTATGTATGTATGTATGTATGTATGTATGTATGTATGTATGTATGTATGTATGTATGTACGTATGTATGTATGTATGTATGTATGTATGTATTGATAGAGAGATCGATAAAGCGACAAAAAGAAGCAAACACAACACATTTTCTGACATAAAAAGTCACAACATAATAATATTTATAGTGAATATTACACTGAAGAATGAATGAGTGAATGAATGAATGAAGGAATGGATGAATGAAGGAATGGATAATTGAAAGATAATACGACTAAACAAATGAATGAATGCATACAGGAATGAATTGTTGAATGAATGAGTGAATGCATACGAAATTGATTGATTCAAGATTGAACGAACAAACAATTCAGTGAAGGGTGAATGAACGAATGATCAAATGAATTAATGAAAATAGACAAATGAATGAATGATTGAACGACCTATAAGAATAAATAAAACATTCAAAGAATTCCATATTGTATGTAAAAATGTAAATACACCAAACATAAATTAATACAAAAACAAATGAATGAATGAACAAATGATTGAATGAATGAAATAAAATAGTTGATTAGATGAATGGTTAATTAAAGAAAAGAACGAACGAGTAGAACAATAAAAGAATTAATGAAAATAAACACTTAAAAAACAGTCAAAAACAAATCAAATCATTTAAAAAATTAAAAAAAAATCAAAATATAAATTTCAACTCTCTCTCTCTCTTGTTTCGTTTCTCTCTCTCTATCTATCCATCCACCTATCCATCCATTCATCCATCCATCTACCAATGTCTTTTTTCGTTAAAAAAATTGAATTTTCAACATTTTTCTTTCTCATTCCTTCAACATGATATAAATTTGTATTCTTCCTCTCTCTCTCTCTCTCCCTCTCTCTGATTGGAGAAATAAAAGAAATGAATCTCTCTGTTGACACAATGAATGAATGAAGAAATTAATGACAAAAAAATGATCGTCTAACATGAATAAATAAACAAAGAAA